CGAGTCGCGGTCCGGATCGCGGTCGCGAGCTCGCTCCAGCTCCAGGCGGAGGTCTAGGTCTAGGTCCAGGTCGTCGTCGAACAGGCTGACGCTGCGCCTCGGCACCGGGACCGGCGACGGGGCCGAGCGGTACGCGTCCCTGCTGGCGCCCGGCTCCAGCAGACTGTTGGAGCGCCGCACGCCGGTCCGACTGGCCGGGAGGCGATGCTCCTTGTACTCGGTCCGGTCGGAGACGGCCGCCTCGGGCGCGTCCAGGAACGCGGTCGGCGTGGTCTCTCTGCCGGGCGAGCGTCGGTATCGCTTCTCGTAAGGCAGGGATCGCCTGGTTTGCTCGATGAAGGATCTGCTCAGCCGCTTCGCCAAGCTCGGCGTGAAGCTACGCTCCAGCGATTCCCGCGTTTCTTTTCTGACTCGTGCCGGCTCCGGCTCCGCGTCTTCGCGGTCTACTTTATCTGGAAAAAGAGTGAGATAACGTCTACGCAAATTCCACACACAGGAACAGTCTGGCGTGTTTGATCGGGACGGGAATGTGTGGACGCGCCGTTTCGGGATCCGATACTCTCGGACAAAACACTCTCCTTATCCTCTCGGTATTTACACTCCTTTATTTCTACATACATGTAACGCGCGTTGCCTTCTCTTCTTATATAAAATCTCTCGGAAAATTAATAAATAAATTTCTCCGACGAAATCCTCGAGGCCTCGAGGGACTCTCGCCGACCTCTTCCCACTCTCTCTCTCTCTCTCTCTCGTTTAGCGCGCGCTCGCTCCCCGCGATCGGAAGGGGGACACGACGATCGAACCCGTGGAGAGAGAACCCGTGGAAAAGCCGCGAAACCTCGCGGCGGGGACAAGGACATGTCGCGCGAGCGCGCGACGCGCGGAGAGAGGCGTCGGCGATGGGTCGTCGCGTCTGGCACATTCGGGACAAACACCGGTCGCTACCGCGGCGCGGCGTTCCTCCTTTTCCGAAGTCTATCTAAAAGTCTAATCGCATCGTCGAATAGTGAACGGGACATACACACGCATACACACAAACACACGTACATGTGGTCGTCGCCACGACACAGCGAGATCGAGAACGAAATTTTCCAGGTGGATCCGAGACTCTGCACCACGGTTCCGCGGACAATCGATTTTGCGATCTTGCCAGGGGTCGTCCCGACGACCGTTCGCGTATACACGTGTTCGTCTAACGCGACGATGCGACTATGCGACGTATCTCGTCGGGCGCAAACTCGCATCCTCGTTGAACGATCGCATGCAGCGAAAAATGATTTGGTATACGCGTACCGAGTAAGTTATTATAGGTTCGGTGAAAGCAGTTCGGTCGAACAGAAACGGTACGCGCGCGCGCGAAGGTTCGTTTCCGGTCTCTTCTTCGCCCGGGAATCCGACCTTCGCGCTCGCGGGAGTTACATCGATACGAATACTCGGCGTCTTAGGTCTCTAAATCACAACGCATCAAATGTGTCAACTTAAGTCGGTAGTAATGCAGTGTACAATATTAAATACAATAATAGTAGCATTATCAAAGCATGCTGAGACAACGTGAAGTAATAAAACGCTGTTATTTAAACTCTTGAAAACACAACAAATATCAGCCATCTCAAACAAGGGTTAGCTCTCTCTCCATTCGCCTTGCGGTATACACGATTTGTCGAGATACCTCCATTCTAAACGAGTGTAAAAATTTCTTTGTTATGCAGGTTTTTTTAGTATCTTTTGGAAACACGATGACAACGAGGACGACGACTACGATTACGGATACGATTACGACGAGTCTCGTCACCTCGATAACATCGGATTCAGCGCGATTCGTTCGAACGCGTATATCGGCTGTCGCCTCGTTTGTCTCTGTTCCGGTAGTTTTCGCACGCAGCAAATTTTTCAGTCGAGAGCGCGAGCCGTTCTCGGACGAACGCGGAAACTGGAACGGCGAACGGTGAATCGCGTAAAGGAATTCTCGCGTGGTCGGATCGAAGGACGCGTGCGAATAATACGCTCGACGTGTCCGGCTTTGAATTTCTCGCGCCTGTGTCTCGAACGTGTCCCTCGATCCCGACCGTTTCGACGGAAGATCGTACAACGGAAGATCGTAACGGAAGAGGAAGTGGTGGAGGTTCGCTGTCGAGTGTGTTGTCGTCGACGATTCCGCGAACCGGATGACGCGAACGATTTCGCGGTGAATCGTAGAGTCGTAGGATCGCAGGATGGTAGGACAGTCGGTTCTCGCGCGATGCGGCTGCGATTCGTCGAACGTGGCCAATCGATCGACGGAAGCGACGGGAATAGTGTCGCGTTCGCTTGATAGAAAGTGTAGAATAGTACCTAACTTGGTTTGTCTACTGGGGATTACCGTCTGCCCGCCTACGTAGAGTCACTCGCACGGTCGCTGCAACAACCGTCAGAAAAGACCGTCAATTACCACCTGCTACAACACGGATGTACCACCGGGATCGTTTCTTTTCGAATAGATTTTTCCCGATCGTTCGTTTCTCCAGCCAAAGAGGAGGAACGGCGGAGCCGTGTGCCGGCTGGGACGCGACACCGCCGTTCCTCCCTTCTTCTCTGCGTCTATCGATAGAATCCGCGAAAGATCGATCGCCGGTGGCAAACAATTATTCCTTTGATCGCTGGTTGAAGAGTCGGCGATAGACGTGAAGTAGATGCATGAATGTTGTTGATTCAAGATGGATTCTGTCTCTTGGATAGTATAGAACCGAAATTCCCTCGTGTGTCGGTGCGCGTACATGGATACGTGCGCAATCATGCCAGAAACTTTAGTACAAGTACATTTCATCGATTATGGAAGACGAACGAATTACGGCTGCTCTCGTGTTAATAGGATAATATACATATACGTGTCTGTGTATATATATACATATACATATATATATATATATTATACACATACAAATGTATATCGTCTATCGCGTTACGCGATATCGATCGTATCGTGTATCGCGTTACGGTGGTACCTACACCGTCTTGTATTTCTGTGTATACACGCATCTGGAAATGCGTATGTACACGTGTATGTGTATGTGTATGTGTATGTGTATGTGTATGTGTATGTATATATATATACGTATACGTATAAGTACAAATATAGAAATAAACAGCAACATCGCAACTCGCTACTACTGCAGATTACGTGTGTATTACGAGGGGTTCTATGTCAGGCAAAGTGTGAGTTACGTCTGTGAGTAATTTTAATCGATGGAAACCCTTGCTGGCAGAGCATCGCGATTTCTTAGGAAACGATTCCTAAGAAACGGCCCCGACGCGAAATTCCCTGGCTGGGCGCGACCGGTGCGCGCGTGTACGGTTCAAAGTGCAATCGGGCCGAATCGGTTACTCGAAAATGAAGATTCGAAAGAAATTGTACACAACAGGCAGGTGTATATTATATGGTATACTGTATCTGCGAGGGAGAACGTGCAAGACATGCGCTCGGAAGAGTAGATCCGTCTCGGAAAAGGTAGGTCCGATCTCCCCGTCGGCGCGTCGGCAGCACCGGCAAAGACGCCTGCACGAAAAGACTCGAGACCTACCCCCGAGACCGAGACCCGACGGTCGACTACGCTCGATTCGAAATCACCCGAACGTTTACCCACCTGTGCCAAACATGAACCCTACTTGTTCGTCTACTCTAAATCGGGTTAGTAGAAAAAGTTGCAAAAACATGTTCAGGCAATCAAAAAACCGAAAGATATCAAAATATCACGTCGACGAAGAGGGGAAAGGACGGAGAGTCGAAGGAGAGACAGGCTCTGGTGGACGAGAGACAGAGAGGCGGAGAAATAGAAGAGAAGAGAAGAGAAGAGAAGAGAAGAGGCGAGGCGTGGCGTGGCGAGGCGAGGCGAGGCAAATCGGTAAAAGTCAAGAAAAATATGTGCTCTGTCTATCAACGACTCGACAACAGCTGCGGCTGGTACTGGGAAATGCATACCGAATACCATCCAGGATTGCTCGGTCGTCTCGCGACTTTGCCCTCTCGGCGAGAAAGCGTGGACAGCCGACGACTCGATCTATCGCGCAAAGTCGCGAAACGAACGAATCGAGAATTTTGACATCGGACCGCAATCGCGAATGCGACCGTTTCGCGTTCGATTCGTAGAAGAATGTTACGGCACTCTCTTACCTCTTGGCAAGGTGTTGTTGCCGATATCGAAGACGGTCTCCCTCGTGGGAGTACTGTGCGATCTCGGGCCGTTGTTCGGGCTTCCAGGACTCGTCGAGTCGACGGACTCTTTCCTTAAGAACGCGTCGCCGTCGCGGCTCAGCGAATGCCTGAACTGGGACTCCGTCAACCGCCTGCGCTCGTAACAAATGAAATTCCTGTGATTCCCCTTGCCTCGAAAAGGACGCAGTCCGGCCGGATCCCGATCGGATCCCGCGTCACGGACTGGCCGCTCGGATTCTAGAAGCGTGTTTCGTTCGCGGTTGCATCGCGCGCCCCGACGCGACAGCAAAGAAACCGATCGTGCGAGGCGAATTGATCGTAATGTGTTTCACTACCTTCTAAAATAATCGGGATACACGCTACATTGTTCTAAAGTTGTTGTAACAATTGGACTCACGTAGTCACAGTCCTCGTTTCGACATACGTCTGGTAGCTTGCGCAAATAAGCGTCGAATCGTTCATTCATTAGAACTCCGAGACGAGTCGTTTTCGTGAAATGTCCGTAAAATCTCGTTAAAATCTCGTTAGAATCTCGGTAAAATGTGAAATGCCCCCGAAATGCCCGTGATCGCGCGCGACGCGACAAAGTAAGGAGGAACGTTGACCAATTACCTCGATAACGGCTTGTTCAGACCCCAAAAGGCTTGCGACGTGTTCGGTCCCAGCCTGCCGAACAGCCGGGAACTGGGGAAGCCGGCGTTTCGGTTATCGTCCACGTTCAGTCTCTGCGTCAAGCTCCGCACTCTGGAGAGCAGCGTGGAGAAGAGATTCTCGGCTGTGAGCAGCTCGAACCCGTCGTCGTCGTCGTCCTCGCCGGAAGACAAGCTGTCCGCGTGTTCCGGGGGTTGCCTCGACGGCCGGGAGCTTCTCAGTCGATGCATGTGCCTCTGCAGGAGGTCCTCGCTGTCTCTGGAAACGCGCGTGCCTCGGTCGGTCGCGATTCTCTCGTTCGAAAGCACAACGCTGCGCGCACTCACCTCTGCAACGTGGAGAACGCGGACTCGTCCTCGCTGGCGTCCGACAGCAGAGAGCTCATTCTTCGGGGTCTGCCGAACCTGGACCTGGACGTGTTGGCGCTCGTCGGCGTGCCGGCCTTGCTTTCCGGCTCCACGCTGCCCGATCTCGGCGTGACGTAACCACCGCCCTCGACCGCGATAGGAATTATGTACTCTCTGGGACTCTTCCTGATCGGTTCCGGACCGACGGTCGAGCCCAGAGCGCTGTCGGTGTCCGAATCAGCGGTGGACTGGCGGGACAGCGATCCCGACCGTTGAGAGATCGATCTTTGCGGCATCGGTGGCTTGGGCGCGGCGGGCATCGACGGAGGAGACGTCGGCGACGTTGGCGGGCTCGCCGACGAGCGTTGCAACGACCGCTCGCCGTCGCCTTCGACCTGTAATCGATCGGAAGCGTTACGCCCGAACCGTTCTCGCTACGGAGAAAACGAGGGGAACAACGGGTAGAATCGTTTCGACTGGCCTGTATCGGTATTATCCTCTCCTTGGGAGCGACGTTCATCGGTCTGAACTCGGGCTCGAGGCTCGCGCTTCGGTTCGGCTGCGGGATCGCGGCCGCGACGGGGAAGGCCACCTCGGATCTTTGCGTTCGCAGCTTCTGCGGGTGGAACGCGTCGATCTTCGCTTCCACCTCGGATCTGAACGCCGCCGGTTCCGACGACTTTGTTCCCGACAACGAGATCTCGGCTTTGCTCGTCTTTCGCGGCCTCGGCAGAGTCGCGCTCTTCAGAGTTATCTCCATTTTGCTGGACATTCTCGGCTCCTCCGGTTGAGAATCGTTATCCGCGATGTCGCTGGACGTTGTTGCGACGTTCGAGATCTAGAAACGAACGAGATGCAAAACGAACAAGATGGAAAGGAAAAGAACATCGAAGAGCAACCGAGACTACGATCGTTACCGATGCTCGCTTCTTGTCCGCCTCCGACGACTTGACCTCGAACGCGAAGTTGGTGTCGACGGGCGTGGAGACCGACACGGTGGCGGTCCGCATGTCGTTTGCTCCGACGGGTATCTTCAACGGAAGCTTCCTCGGTTCCTGGCCGGTTCCCGACGGCGAAGCCGGCGGCGATCCGTTTACTCTTCTCTGCATGGGAGGCTTTCCAATCGCGCCGGTTATTATGTCGACGGCTCGTTTTTTCGCCTCGTCCCTCTTCTTCTCCTCCTCCTGCTCCTGCTGCTGCTGCTGCTGATGCTGATGTTGTTGTCGTAGCGGCTCGTCGCTGCGAGTCTCTCGAGGAAGTTTCGGCTGCTCGACGGATTTTTCCGCCTTTTTGTCCGTCGGCACGTCGATGATAATTTTGGACGCGCTGTGCTTCGCCGGAGGTGGAGCGCCGATAGAGGACAGACTGGCTTTCCTCTCGAACACGCGTTTCGCGCCGCCCACGTTCACGCCAGGTATGAAGATCTTTTTCGGCTTCTCGGTTTCCACGCTCGATGCCATTTGGTTGAACTTTTCCGCGGTTTCGAATATCTTGGAACGCCTTCTCTCGAACGTTTTCGCCGGAACCTCCCGGGCTTCTCCGGAGAGTTCCGAGTCGAGAGAGAGCGCCTTTTCTTTGAGTTTCTTGAACTCTCGTTGCGTCGCCTCTAAACTGACAGAGTCGTCGCTTCCTAGATCAGCGATCGTCTCGGATTTGACGGTTTGGGGCTTTGAAACGCCTTTGGGACGATCCTCGGATGTCGCGGGCAAGTTCTGTTCGGCGTCGGAGGGCTGGTTGATCTCCGATGTCTCCTGGAATCCTTCGAAGGACTCGTCAGCCTCGTTTCGCGATAATTTCTCGTCGCGGTCGGCCGATTTCGCGGTATCCATGGACGCGTCCGCGATCGGTTCTTCCCGGTTCTGCGATTGTACCGGTGGCGGTGGTATCGGCGTTTTGCTTCGTTCCTTGCTGGGCGACCTTTCGTTGCACTCTTCGATCAACTCCAAGCAACCGGCCGCCGAGTCCGATGCGTTCGGGTCGACGATGTCGCTCGTGTGAACCACCGGATCCACTTCCATAGCTTCTTCCGTGATCGAGTTTGGAATCGGAGCCGAATGATGCCTGAAAGTAACGAAAGAGGAACGATAAAACGTCGATGGAAGAAGAAAGATCGAAGAAGAAAGATCGAAGAAGAAAGGACGGACGATTCGCGTCGCGAGTTACCTGGATCCCGATCTGTACGTTCTAGGTTCTCTCTCCTCGGTCCTTTCCTTCCTCCTGGATCGTTCCTTCCTCTTGACACCGGCGGCAGCCGTTTCGTCCATCGACGGCGTCGTTTCGAGCTTTCGTTTCGCGTCGCCGGTGGACGGCGCGGCAACCATCTGCTCGTCCTCCAGCAAGAGCAGTTCCCTTATCCTCCTATCGGAATTGTTTCGATCCAGCTCCATCAAGCTGCCGACGGAATGGCACCTGGTGGGTACCAGAGTCTCGGAAGACACGTTATTTCCGACGTCCCCGGCCGCTTGCGGGTCGTCGCCTACCACCAGCTTCTCCGCGCTGGCCGACTGAGGCACCAGGGAGAGCAACAGATCGAGTCGCACGGGCGTCTGGGCGGCCAACTCTTCCGCGATGTCCAGACAGTTTTGCTCGTAGCCCTCGTTTACCCACCAATGAGTGCAAATTTTCTCTATGTCGGCTCGCTTGCCGGGCATCACCGTCAGCATATCTTTGATGAGAGGAGAGGCAGCTGCAACGAAACGAAAAGAAACGAAACGAAAGGAACGGCGACGATTAGGAAAGCGCTCGAGAAACGAGGCGGTGCGCGACAGAGAAAGGAGAGGATGAAACTCACGCGACGGCTTTTTCGGTTCAAAGTAATCCGACTGCGAGATCTGTTTGACTAGTCGTTTAAAGTTTGAGCCATCGAACGGCATGGCACCGTAGACCAACGTGTAGAGGAGGACGCCCAAGCTCCAGCAGTCGACCTCGGGTCCGTGATAAGGAGTGCCCTTGACGATCTCCGGGCTGGCGTAGAGCGGACTGCCGCAGAACGTGTTCAGCAGCCTCTGCTCGTCGAACACGTTCGACAGTCCAAAGTCCGCTATCTTCGCGTTCCCCACTTGATCCAACAATATGTTCTCCAGCTTGAGATCTCTGTGACAAATTTTGTGTTTGTGACAATAAAAAACCGCGGTCGCTATCTGCCGGAATATCCTGCGCGCCTCGTGCTCCGACAAGACTTTGCGTTCGCTCAGGTAATCGTAAAGTTCGCCGCCGGCCGCGTACTCCATCACCAGCACCATTTTCTCCCTGTTCTCGAAGACTGGAAAAAGATAGGCGTTTAGGTCGCTCGCTCGAGAGAGATTCTTATTTCGGACTCACCTTCGTAAATGTGAATAATGTTCGGGTGTTGCACGCTCGACATTATCTGGATTTCCCTTCGTATCCTGATGAGATCGGCCTCTGTTTCAATTTTGCATTTCTTGATCGTCTTAATCGCCACTTCTTGACCGGTCTCTTTATTTATGCCTAGCTGAACTTTACCGTAAGTACCTTGGCCGAGCTTCTTGATGATGTCGAACCTGAATGAAAGAAAACAAACGGAACACGTTGGGGGTGCGATGCCTCGAACGCGTATCCGCGTATCCGCGTCTCCGCGTCTCCGTGTCTCCGCGTCGCGGTAATTTTCGCCAACGGTATTTTCAGCGAACGCGGCGGCGGCAGTCTCGAGATTCGCGAGCGATCGAGCGAGGATCGATCGTTGCTCGCAACCATCGAAATACTTTGTCCTTGTTCCTTGTCGGTTCGCGGCGTTCGCGGCGTTCGCACCGTTGTTCGTCGGTTTTCGATCTTGCCCGGTCGACGACGTACCTCTGCTTCAATTTCCGTTTGTGATTGTGAAGACGCACCCCGCCCGTGCTCTCCATGCCGCCCATTATGTTGTGTATGCTCGCCTCGCCGACAACCATTTTTCCGGAATTTTCTCTGAAAAGAAAGGGTTTCGCTATAGCTCGATCATTCGAAGAGAGCTTTAGCCTTTCATGTCGCGTTAGCGGTGGCTGCGCGGAGAACGAGAGGAACAAAAGGAATCAGATCGTCCGCGAGTTATTCGCGCGTAGGAGGGAAACGATGACGCGCGGCGATCTCCTTTCTTCTCTAGCGAATTCGATTTCGACCTCGAGAGCTCGATCGGCGCCCCCTCGAGTCCTCGTGCTCGCGATCGCGAATAACGGCAGCCAACGACGGGCCATCGTTATCGAGCTCGCGGTCCGCCGGCGAACGAACGACGGAGAGGTGAAATGCGGCGAGTTTATTTTCGGTACGAGACGTCGGTGTACGTCGGTGTACGCGAGTGTACGCGAGTGTACGTCGCTCCCGCCGATGAACGACTCCGGGGTTGCTCGCCGCCTCCTCGACGAAACGCTCTATGGAACTAACCGAGACCGAATCGCGTTCGCTTTCGGCAGAAAGGTTGTTCGCCAAAGAAACGGTCTCGAGAGGCGGCTATTAATGCCTCGCGATTAGGATAACGACCGGTTGCCCGTTCGTTTCGGGTTCCAGCGATCTTCGTAAATTCGCGAGCGACAAACGCGTCGAAAGGTCGGAAAAAGCCAGATTTCGTTTACCAACGTCCCGTCTAGGCCTAGGCCGACGCTCTCGAATTATTTTTCGGAGTGAATTCCGTTGAGCATGCCAAAACGCTACAATCCGATTTAAGCTCGACCGTAGCACGACGAGGCAGGACGAGTCGAGATTAGACGAGACGAGACGAGACGAGACGAGACGAGAGGAGAGGAGAGGAGAGGAGAAGAGGAGAGACCGGGGGAGACGCGACTCGAGCAAAGACAACAGCCTCGCGGGAAACCTTGCGAAACGTCGCTATCGAAGAAACATTCGCGTTTCCAAAGTTACTCTTACACCGCCTGCTACTTTCGACGACGCTTCCGAGTTTCCGAGATGTTGGCACGGCTAGAGCGAAATCGAATGACCGCGACCAAAGAAAATGGCGCGAAGCGAGAAGGTTGCCAATTTGCCTGAAAGCGGACGGCCAGCTTTGCGAGATCTATTATCGGCAGCGGTTTAGCGCCACGATAACCAACGAAAACGAGAAGAATTTTGCGGGAGGGCGTTTGTCATGGTCGTGCGCCGATCTCGCGAACGACTTTGGAACGGAACACGTGCGCGTACGCTGCTACACCCTCGCTTCCATCTCTCTCTCTCTCTCTCTTCCTCGGTCCCGTTCTCGGTCTCGTTCTCGCTCTCGTTCTCGATACTCGATCGGTACGTTTCGATATTTTTAGCGGGCGCGTAGACCCGTCGCAACGCGTGGGCAGAGCTGGCTTCAGGGCTGTTGTCCTAATGACTTCCATTTCGGAAGTCGGTTCGCTCGGCGAACGATTCGGACACGGCGGTGGTACCAAGAACGCGGCGGGTCTTGGTTGGGCCCGATACAGGCTCTCGATCCGATAGAATATTCCTCGTTGTTCGCGACGATGTCGTTTCGAACTCGCTCCGGCTTGTTCGTTCGTCGAAAATAGTAGCGCGGAAAAGCATTTTGAAGAAAGCGATAGCGCGTCGACGACCCTTGCCATCGTTTTTCACGGTATTTTTAGGCGCGTCTGAAATTCATGTAGGAAACGAAAAGTAGAAGAAGAAGAAGAAGAAGAAGAAGAAGAAGAAGAAGAGGCGCGGTTTCGAGGTTGGCCGGCGCGATCGAACGCTCGACGAACATTTGCCGCGATTCCGGCGATTCTCAGTCCCACGCGAAGCCGCGGTCGATTCGGTTCCGGATCGGACGAGGCCGAAGCGGTTAAACGCGCGAGAGGAGGAAGCGCGATCTATCGGGTCGATGCATGGGAAGGCGCCGTTTGGCAGCGTCTCTTCCAAAAATCTGCCAAGATAAATTTACTTGCGCGCGTCCGTATTATTAACGACGATCGACGTTCAACGCGTGTCGTTTGCCTCTGCTTTCCGGCGAGCGGTGCGAACTCGATCGAACGAAAGAAATCGAAGAAATCGAAGAAATCGAAGAAATCGAGGATTCGAGCGAAAGCGAAGCGAAGCGAAGGGAAGGGAAGGTTGTCGTCGAGCTCGACGTCCTCCGCGACGGCTTCTATGGTATCCCGCGATGCTGATTCACGCGTTATTATTAAAACCCTTATTATTCGTCCACGCGACGCGACCCGTGTTGCATACATGAATGAACTTGTATGCGCGGAGCGCGGGTGATTGTACGCGTGGATCGCGATTTCTCGCGACAAAAGTTTGAGTCACGAGGAATTAATAGACCACGCTCTCGGCGAATATCATCCGCGATCGCGTTCGCGTCCGCGAGCATCCGGACATGCGTGCTATTTCGGCCGGGAGATGTTTCGCGGTGTTACGTTGAACGCGCTACAAACGGAAACGAAAAAACGGGACTGACGCGCGACGCCTCGCCGATCGTTATCGTCGCTCGCGAGAACCGATGTCGCAACCGATTTCGAAACGGTGCGGAATCGAGGAAAGAAAACGCGTTCAAAGTCTTCGACGCGTGCTCGCGAAATATCTCGAACGTAATCCGCATAGTGGCGAACGAGACCTGTGCTTCGAGAGGCAGTTTCTATATCGTTCGCGTCTCGACCAAGACGACGGCCTATCTATAACTGCATATGTATCCGTCTATACGTATATATATATATATATATATATGTATATATATATATACTTTTGCGTCGCACATGCCCGCTATTTCGTACGGGACGTACGCATGCTGCCGACAAAGACCAACTTTGCGAATAGGCTCCGATTAGCGGAACAACCCTGAGAAACATCCACCAAAAAAGTACGATCCTCTCCGAATAGAATTTCTCGGGGAAATTCGGGACGACGGGGAAGACGGTTTAGATGGAACAGGGAAATTAAACGGCTCGACGTCGAACGATCCTCCGATCAATTGGGTTAGAGAAAATGCGTGTCGGAGTGCGCGTACGCGTATCGGTGCACCGTTTGCGACTGAACCGCGTACCACGGTATGTAGGTTCCTATCGATAAAAATAGCATTCTGATATTTCGAAGGGATCTTCGGGACATCCGCCGCTAATCGTCTCGAGCACCATCCGCGAGGATAGTACCCTTGATCGAGCAGGAAATCGAACTCGTCTCCGAGTTGCTCGATCGAGGGATTCCCATCGAATCTCTACTATTCGACTCCGTTCGATGCAGTTCGATTTAGTTCGGTTCGGTTCGGTTCGGTTCTGTTCTGTTCGAAACGGAACGGAACGGGATTGAATGGAATCGGACGGAACAGAACTGAACCGAACGGAGAGCGGAATGGAATGGAACGGAGCGGAGCGGAACGGAACGGAACACGACGGAATCGAACGGAAAGGAACGGAACGGTTTCGAGGCAATCGGGACGAGTCGTTGCTCGGTTTCGCGTATTATCGAGTAACAGAATACGCCCACGAAAGAAAATCGACAACGGTCCGATACCGTGTTTCGCGAAAGGGTAAACGTTCGTTCTCGGAGAACGTACCAGCGGATCCCACGAACCGACGCTCTCATTCAGAATCGACGCTCGGATTCAATCTAAAAATAGCGAGAATTTGTACCTTACGGTGAACTCTGGAGCCAAATTATCCTCTTTTTGCGGCTGCTACTCGCTCCCGGGAACAAAACTATACTGGGAATAGCACTATTTACACTGTTTTCGTAGTCTCTGCTCTCGGTCCGGTCGCGCGCTAAGTCTTTCTAACGTTCGAATTTTTCTCAGAGATCGCGAACCTTCTCCGTTTGCACTTCATTTTACCAGACATTTTTCGCGCGACGATACGGCACACAGCTCACGCGCTTCCACCATCTTTATTTACTAATTTTGGACTTGAACGCCGAGAACGGGGAACGGATAGAGATTGTACCGCCTCTAGCGACATCTTTCGACCTCACCTTCTACGATGCGCGCAACAACGTCACGGACTTCGGATATCTGCAGACTGTGCACGCGACACGTACTTTTCTCTCTACCGTTCTGAAATACCGACACTCTCGATGCGTCGCGTTCGCATCGATGTTCTTCCGATTCCACGTCGAATATCCCCAGTTACGTGTCCAATTTTTCCCGATCGATCCGATTCCCTTTTCCGACGAAAATCCAACAAACCGCCCCGCGGTCGTCGAAATTTCGCGACTCGACGAGTGACCTATTACCGTTCAACTCTGAAGTTGCTCGCTGAAGTCGCCCGATAGGATCGCTGGACGATCGTTTCCTACGCGGTCGGTTCGCGTTTCTGTATCTCGAACGTGCTCTCGCCATCGGGCGCGGATACGTCGCGTCGCGCATCAGCGTGAAAAGTTAGGTTACGTTCTGCTAGAGGAACGTAGAAGAATAGGATCTCGCGCGATGCGTTCTCTTCGTGACGGCTAATCAATTGTTCTTCGGTGAAAGTGACACTGCGCGCGACCGATCATGGATCCTACGGAAGATTGGAACGGCGATTGTCAGACACCGTTCGACGGTGAATCGCAAGAAACCGTCCTCCACCGAGCAGCTAACCACTGCGTACCTGGTTACTCGAATTTCGACGATTACGTTCAGGTATACACCTGGCCAGAATTTCTATCGCGTCGGGTTCGCCGGACGCGTGGTAATATGCGATTCTATTTCAGGATGCGTTCGACGCTATACGGGCTGGAATCAAAGCTGCCAATGCTTTACCGATAGGCTCAAATTTTCATTACTACTCCTGCTTTACCAGTTTCCTTACCGCCAAAGATCGAAATGTCCAATTATTGGTGACCGCTATGCAGAATACCTTTGGAATGGCTGGTATCAAGGGTAACATTTCGAATCTCGACGCGGAGGAGAAATTCGACCTTTTATTGGAATCCAATGATATATTTTTGGACAGAGCGGTAAGATTTGTCAAGGTAGCGCGCGACCTCGCGTGCCTTTTACCCGGCAACTTTGTTTAATTCTTAATTCTCGCAGAACTCGTTGATGGACGAAGAATCCGGCGTCTCTAAAGCGTCCGAGGTGGAGTTCGTGGTAACGCAGACCAGACAGAAAACGATCAACGGTAGCTGGAACAAGCAACCCTCGCGTCTCCAGCAAGACTCCGAAAACGCGCAATCCGTTCGATTGCTCGCCGGAAGGAACGTTCAGAGACCGCAATTAATGTTCAAGGACAAAATTGATAACACCTCGAAACCTTGGTGTCCCAGAATTAAAGATAAACCAAACTCTTTAAAGCCGTTGGCGATCTACCTGGAAGAAGGCGAGAACGGAGAAGCTTTTAATCATCCGTACGGGTACGAATTGGACTTGTTTACTCCGAAGGCTGGTCAACTACAGAAATCGGAGCCGAAGATGTATAAATCTTTGGAGGAAACACCTTTGATAATGATCGAACGTCCGTCCGATCTGACGATGCTGATAAACGATTTGAAACGGTACAAGGAAATTGCCGTCGACTTGGAGCATCATTCTTATAGAAGTTTCCAAGGGATAACTTGTCTGATGCAAATATCGACGGGAGACACCGATTACATAATCGACACGTTGTCGTTGCGATCCGAATTAGACGAATTGAACGAAATCTTCACGAAGCCGACGATTCTAAAGGTATTTCACGGCGCGGATTTAGATATTCAGTGGCTCCAACGAGATTTGTCTTTGTACGTGGTCAACATGTTTGACACGCATCAAGCCGCGAAGCAACTCAATCTGCCGTATTTGAGTTTAGCCTACTTGTTGAAGCGCTACTGTAATATAGATCCGAATAAGCATTTCCAGCTGGCCGATTGGCGAATAAGACCTTTACCCGAAGAACTACAAAAATATGCCAGGGAGGACACGCATTATCTGTTGTACATAAAGGATATATTGAGAAACGCTTTGGTGGACCTTGCCAACGGCCAAACGAACATTTTGAAAGCGGTGCACGATAGAAGTACGGACATATGCAGGAAAACTTACGTGAAACCTGTCTGGACGGAAGAAAGTTGCATGAGTTTGTACAGGAAAAGTCAAAAAATGTTCAACAATAAACAGCTGTACGCTTTGCGGGAAATTCACAAGTGGAGGGACACGGTCGCCAGAGAGGAGGACGATAGCACCGCTTACGTTTTACCGAATCACATGCTTTTGAATATAGTGGAAACGTTACCGCGAGAAATGCAAGGAATTCTGGCGTGTTGTAATCCTATACCTCCTTTGGTTCGACAACATCTGTTAAAGTTGCACAAAATCGTATTGAAGGCTAGAGAACAGCCGCTCATCAAGCCGGTTCTCGAGGATCTCAGGCAAAGATTGTCGCAGAGGAATCAGATTACGAACTCGGAAGCTTGGATGCATTCGCCCCATGATATACCGAGCGGCACCGAGGCGAGAGCCGATTTACCGTGTCTGTTGGACAAGAACGCGCCACCGGAAACATCGGTAGGAAATGTAATGGTGAACCACACGGTCACAGTGTTCGACAGTCCTGTCGCGTCCGAGGTAACGAACGAAAACGATAGACGCGATTTATTCGGAGTAAACGACAAACTAATCGCTTCTTATTTCAGGACGAGGAAACGACCAGAGACCAGCAACGACATATTAAAAAGAAATTCGTTTTCATCAGTCCATTCGAACGGTATAAACGCGTGATACCTATGGTCGCGCAGGAAGAAGCGCGAGAAAGAGAGAGGCAACAGCGAGAAGAGGAAAATCGATTGATGGAACAGAAGAAACAAGAAGAGGAGATCGCGGAAAGCAGAAGTAGAGTTTACGAACATTTCAAACAAGTTTCTCAGATTCCGGCCGAGGGGACCGCGACGAAATCTTCGAAGAAGAAACCCCCGGTTCCTCTGTCTCAACATCAGGGGCGGAAGAGGATGCGAGACTCGAATATTAACAAAGAGGACGACATTCGAGGAAAAACCAACGATAACTTGTTAACGCCAGCTCCGTTGTTGCAAACAAAAAGAATCGACAAGTCCAAAGAAGAATCTAAAGACGAGACACCTTTGATAGAGGAGCGGAAGGTGCAAGAACGTTTAGCGGGGATTCAAGACGAAGCGAAAGCAGATGCGGACGCGGTTAAATCTATGCGGTGAGAACAACGCGATGTCGTATTGCAACGTAGAAAACCGTGATCGTTCTTTGACCATTAAATATCATATAAATCTTTTTCTCCGTTTGCCTCCAGTGTCAGAAAGAAAGGGGACAGGCAGCGCACGATGAAAGAGTTGGATAAAAAGGGTTTGATGCCGTCGAAAATGTTTGATTACAAAATGGTAGATTTTAGCGGTTTCCAAGGAGGAAGCGCAAACGCGGCCAATCAAGTCAACTTTGAACAAACAATGGTAAGAGATTGTAGATTATTTATATCGGCGACCAATAATAATACCCGACAAGAAACTGATCCGTTATTCTGTTCCCGCAGAAAAAATCGAAAGAGAAGAAACGGAAGCGAAAGAAGCAAAAATTGAATATATAACCTGCGTTAGATTCGAAGTGTAGGTTTGACGGAAACATTTGTACTGCGCGAATAAAGCAATATAAACAGTTTATATTACACTCGTATGCTGTGTACGAATGATATAGAACGGTAACAAGTATATAAAGATACATCGTATCGTTGCGTATATATTGTATACAAAAATATATCGAGTTGATTGTTAGCAGTCAGGAAGAAACTGTTATTTTTCTTTCAATCGGAATATTATACAATCTACAATTTTAGATTATGCAACGTTGATCTTTCGTCGTTGGTATTCGAATAATTATTACCGGTTCAAGGATCTTTAAACCGTTCTATTCGAGTATGAAACGATCGGAATGAAAACAGCAATGCTCGACGCGCGTTGGAAAAAAGCTGAAAAATTCCATTTGAAATTGCTGATGTAATTCGTGTTGTTATCGGTAGGTCACGGACTCAAGCTGTTTCTCTTTTTTTCATCCGTAGGCAAACGTCTGTCGTTTGATCGAAAGTGTAAAGTTGTTAGCCTGCGTGGTCCGATATTTCGGTCTTTGCAATACGAAAAATGAAGTCTGTTGTAACGGTGTTGGCGAAACTGAGCCTCCTTACCGCAACGTGTAATCTGCTAGCCGATGGAAACGCGTATACGAATGCAAACGAAAAGTCGACAGTTGACAGGTCATTGGGTAGCCGTTCGAGCAATTTGTCGGAATTTACTTATACTCTTTCCACGTCTTCCAGTCTTGTCGATTCTCCTGCGGAATCTAAATCGAATCAAGTCGATTGTTTTGGATTGGGTAAAACATTTGCAACTGCTTTAGAGTGGTTTTTTATGAGTAAACCGAACGGGAGCAATCCTCTGAACGTCCAGTTCTTGCTGTCGTCGAGGGATCAGCCGCAACGCGTCCAGGTGATGATCGGAAAGCAATTTGGTCTAGAGTGGACAGATTTTCGAATTGAACGCGAAACGGTCCTGATAGTGCACGGATTTTTATCGCATGGCCAGGAATCGTGGATCACCGATATGGAGAAATCGTTTCTTCAATGGGTAAGAGGAAAAGTGTTTGTCTACCGAGTTTATCGGATTGAAATGTTCAAGGAAACACACAGTGTGTACGCGGTGACCGAAATACATACGAATAAGTGATATTTTGCAGAACGATGTGAACGTTGTAGTTGTAGATTGGAGCAGCGGAGGTAACACTTGGAATTATTACAAAGCCGCGGTTAATACACGCGTGGTGGGATATCAAATTGCAAGGTTTACCAAAAGTCTAATATAGCTTTGTTTTCGATAACTATAGAAACGTGTCTGACCGAAACGTATCCGCGTGATCGTTTGGTGAAGATTTTTAGAGCACATAGAGAACGCGACAACCGTTCGAAGCGACGATCATCGGGGAGGTTTACATTTGGTGGGTCACAGCCTTGGGGCGCATATTTGTGGATTCGCCGCGAAGGAATTAAAAAGCAGAGGCAGCAAATGGACGGTGAAGAGGATAACGGGGCTCGATCCTGCGCAACCTTGCTTCAAGAACGCGGATTCCTCCGTGAAGCTTGACAAGTCTGACGCGCCATTCGTGGATATCATACACACCAACGGCAGACTGCTCTCCGAGATTGGATTGGGTTTACCGGATCCTATAGGTTCGTGTCGCAAGTCTATCCTTATGCGTTCTTATCGCGCCTTTCCTTCGAAACGAAAGACATTTCGCGAGTTATCCCGTTGATATCAGGTCACGTTGACTTTTATCCGAACGGCGGCAAGAGTCAGCCAGGCTGCCTAAAAATGGACAGTTCTCTTTATCGATACCTGCCGATTCCTATCCGAGGTAAGCACGAACGAAGCACGGTATATATTCGTCTCTATAAGGTAAGGAATCGTTTTCAGTGATCGGCAAGTCCATATGCAGCCATGGACGTTCGTACGTCTATCTGACGGAATCTTTGATTGCCGACGTGAAACGGAATTGTACTTTCTGGGCGCATCATTGGGATCTGACGTACCGAAGCTTAACGACGATAACGACGGAACTTTGTACGAAAAGCGTTTGCACGGAAATGGGTATAAACGCGATAAATTACGCCGAACGTGGAACCTTTTTCGTCGCCACGTCCGATTCCGTGCCATTCTGCGGTAAGTCGAATCGCGGAAACTATTGGAATGTTCTTGCCCGCTATCGGTTAAAAAACGTCGTGTATACTTTTTCCAGTGAGCGATAATCGGAAGATCGAGGAAATAATGATTCAAGTGGAGGAGGATAACAAAAACGATCTGTACGACTGATTATAGATAGTTATCGTTAAAAGAACACAGTACGTGTATTATTCGTTTATAAATAAATGCTTTTTACATTGTACGGTCGTTGCATAGGTGCTACGCTTGGACGATAAATTACCGCCGAACGGTATTTACAATGTAGATTCGGTTACTAAAACGGTTTGCGTATTTACACGTGACGGTAATATATCTATAGACGCGTATGCTAACGACACGCTAATTCTATACACGTACGTGATATTACGTCTCGTATGTATGTAAGTGTATTATAGCATAGTGACTCGAACCAACTGTATACTCGAACGTAAAAGTGGCGCTGTATCGTTATCGCGATTCCCTAGGTCCTATTAATACTATAAACGAATGATAAATTAAAAGCCTTACTAAATTACTAAATTACTAAATTACTAGATTACTAGATTAGACTAAATTATTTCATGAATTCACTGTCGCATCGAATACATATGTATGTATAGGTACACTAAATGTATATTAAAGTTATCTTCGGACGGTCCGGCTGTGCGTTCGGCATGGTCGTTGGGCATGCTTCTCGTTGGCACTTTGATTAGATATCTATAAAGACGCGTATTTCCGCAGCGGTCGATTTTTCGGTCGATCGAAGAACCGAGGAATTGAAGGTGACGCGACGGTTCGACGAGGAATAAAAGTAAAGTGAAAAGCGTTATTCTAACCAGTCAAGATCGACGTTCGACGAAACGCGTCGGACTCGACATTGGAGTGTGCTTTGGTAGATTCTCGATCGAGCTGACCTTATTCGTTCGTGAGAGCGTATTTCGTCGAAATCGGAGATTCGAGAATTCGCTGGAAATCCGCTCTCGAAATCGTTTCCGAAAAATCGCGATCCCCGATCAATGAATAACTTGTACGTAAGTGGCTGGAAATATTCCAGTGCGTCCTCTACATTCCCCTATCCACCAGCCGTCCGGTTGCTTCTGATGCACCGTTATCAGATCGCCGGGGCTCAAGCTGAGCTCGTCGTTCAGATTCGCCGAATACTGATATATTGCCCTGCACTGCTCGGTGTCGTTGGGTTTCCCGGTAGTCTCGGCAACGTCCTCTTGATTGTTGTTGTCCTCGGAATTGCTGCTGAACTCGTCGAAGTCGCTAAAGTCGTCTTCGTCGGGTGGATTCTCGGAGTTGCCGTCGCCGGCCGTTCGATCGGCCCAGTCGCGACTCTCGGCTTCGTGATCCTTCGCGAGGCGAACGTCTATCTCGTGTTGCTCGCGTTGGTCGTGTTGGTCGTGCTGGTCGTGCTGGTCGTCTTGAAACTCAAACGATTCGTTCTTTGCCCAAGAAGGAACCTGAAACGCGAAATCGATATCGGATCGAGACGAACAATTGGCCGAATGGTCAGAGATGTACAGCTCGCGGACTCGCGGGTTCACCTTAAGGACGCTTTGCTGCAATCCCTGCTTGTCCCTCGACACTAGAATGTATTCCGCCAAGGGATGCTTGCCCCGCTTGCTGCCTTCGACTTCGGCCAGCGTTCCTCCGACCTTATACCTCGCTGCCTCCAAGTACAACAGCATGGAGCGCATCTGACGAGAACGATCGGAACGGTTAAGAGCGGAAAATCAAAGGAAAATATGAGGGAACCGAATACTCACGTGGTGCAGTTTCTCCGTAACGTTTTGCGTGCTCTCGTCCGCGGCGAACGCGGGCGTCGCGACGAAAGCTCTGTGAAGCGTTTCCAGACCCTCCCTTCCGCGTCTCTCTCGTTCCAAGTCTTGCCTGATCAGATGGAGAACCCTGACCAACGCCTGCTTCCGACGCTCCCTGTTCATCGCGAGAGTAACGTGCTCGGCGTAAAAGTCCGGCAGCAGTTGCTCGGAATTGCACGCGTCGTTGCTCTCGACTCGACGTATCAGATTCTTCAGAGTCTCGATGTCGTGAGATATGTTGCAGTTACGCGCAGATGCCGCCAGGCGGTCGGCGCTCTGGAAAATGCGAAATGCGAAGTGCGAAATGCGAAAGGCGAAACGCGCGAAGAAACGTCGCGCCGCTGGAAGGTGGACGAAACGTTACCTGCTGTAGCCGAGGAGCGAGCGCTTGCAGGTGCGCCAAGTAAACGTTCGCGAGGTCCTTGAGCGCGCTCGAGCGCTCTTCCTCGAGAAGCTCGAGCTGCTTCACTCCCTTTCTCACCGTGCTTTCGTACTCGAGCCTGGCTCTCTCGGCTCTCACGCTCACCGTGTAAAACTCCGTGTCTGCCCTACGGGACGAGTCCTCGGCCTTTCTCCTCCTCGCCTCGAGCTTGCTCGCTTCTTTCTCCGTCATGTGATGATGATGATGATGGCTCGACTTGTTGTTGTTGCTCTGCTGGCTCTGGCTGATCGATTGCAGCCTCGCGAGGTCCTGCAACCTCTCGTTTTCTCGCGCGCAAGCGAAACTCTGCTTTTTACTTTTCGCGGCGATGTTGCGCCATTCGTGCAGCGATTTTCCAGCCTTGTCCACGGAATTCTCGATGGACTTCCTCGAGCGTCCTTGAGCCTCCGCCACTCCTACCTACGAGGAACAGGCGAGAACGCCTCGTTAACGCCTCTTCGTCGAAATTTGCAATTTCGTAGCCTTCGAGGAGAATCTTTCGCGACATCGCTGCCACGCGCTCCTCTCTCTCTCTTTCCCGTTTGGTAATCGAAACGGAGCTGGAACTTACTCGGATCGGTTTGGCGAGCTGCTCGCCGAGCGTGATGCTCCATACCCTGTGAGCTTCCGCGGCAGCCTCCATTTCCTCGCCGACGCATCTCCATGCCTCGTTGACACCTCCGCTGCTGTTTCCACCTGCGTTGCGAAACCCATTGTAATTAGGAGGCGATTATTCGAAGCGGTTTCGAAGCGGTTTCGAAGCGGTCGCGACGTACCTTGATCTTTCGCGCACGCTTTCGTCAACTTGCTGCTCAGCTTGGAGAGCCCTTTGGCGTAGGTTGCTTCCAACTCCGCTCTGAAACGAAATGCGCGCGCGACTTCTAGATAAACGGCATAGATTCTAGGGAGATTCGGAAAGGCGAGAAGAGAGCGGGGCGTTACCTTTCGTGGAGTATCGCCGCTAGCTCCTTGCAGAAATCACCGCCCTGCTTGACGTACCTTCGGACGTCCTCGAAGCCGCCTTGTCCTCCCTGGAAGCAGAAAGCGGTACGTGTCGATAGTCTCCGATGGTCGCGTTTCATCTTTCTCTTCGTCTAGTTTCGACAAGAAAGTCTCTCGGACAGGCCGTGGCTCGTTCTACGGTTGAATAATCGTGGTACTCGAGGGGAACGCGGAGGATAGCGGTAACCACGCATCGTAGCTCACGGATGCAACGTGTTTCCAGTGTCTCGCGGCTGAATTATCGGGATTTCTTTCGCCTCTTCCTCGAGACGCACCGCCTCTCGAACCGGAGGAAACGCGAAATTTACGACGGATAAGCTTCCGTTTCACCCGCGCATCGATATCTCTCTCCGGTCGGTTCGTTCGATCGAGCCGGCTCGAACGAACTTGGCTGATTTACGAGGACGGATTAGTCGATTTACGGCGTGTTCTTGACCGAGCCGAGGCGAGGAAAATCAAACGTTTTTCGAAGCCCCCGACCGTCGAGCTCGCCCGTGACCGGAGAAAGGAACGATAAGCGATCCAACCTTACTTTCCCGCGTAAAATATTCGATTCTACGGGCATATGGTCGGCAATGAAATTCATTCGTCGGCAGTAATTTGCGTTACCTTCCCCGAACGGAGAGACCAGCCGCCGACCGAATCGACCGTCTACCGAAACCGAGTCGAGACGATATCCACCGTTTCTCACGATGACGCGGTCGTTTCGACCGGTGGAAGCGTTTCCTCGAGCGTGATGCTGCCGTTTCTTTCGTTCGACTCGAAAGTTGCGAGAAAATGCGATCAATTCCGAGCCGAGTTGCTCGCGCGCCGGAACGTTCGAACCGTGCAACTCGAAAGTGAAGAAAACCGGAGAACGAACAACGACCGATAACCTCGATAAGAGGAACGAAGGTTTCTCGCTTCTTGGACGAGTAGTCGAGATCGGTAGAAACCTAAAGTTAGCTAAGAATAAGTTCCAACCGAGTTGGCTGGCACTGAAACGACGCTCGAGAGACGATAGAAAGTACCTTTAGAAACTGTTCGAGTCCAGAGTGGAACACCATAAGCAAATTTCTTTCGATTCGTTTGGCTCGGTGCTAATTAAAGGTTATACCATCGAGTGACCGGTGGGCATCGCTACTTTAAACATTCATTGTAAATACGCGTTGCGCGCTACGCGAAAATGGAAACCGGTCTTTTTGGTAAAGAAACCGGTCAGCTGTGGCCGAAAAATCGTGTGTTTTTACTTTTCGCGATCTGGATTTTCCTGCGCGTTACGCCAAAATGTCATTTACGGTTGTCGGTGTGTTACGCGCGAACCAACCTTTCGGCCGACGTTCGTAAAATTCCAATTCGACCGGTTTCCGATAGGCGAAACCGATCGCTCGCTTCTGGGTTTCGCGTCCGAACGAATAATCCTCGAGAACGCGAAAACGAGTTGTTTCGAATTTCCATCGAGAAGAAAGAATTTTCGTCGCGACGTCGATCGGCGCGTATCGCGATTAAGCGCGGCCAGATAAACGATACGGACACGCGCGCGCACCTCGAAGGAAAAAATCTTGTTTACGACGCTGGCGATTACGAAAGCGGATAAAAGAGATTGTAGTTCGCGACGGAAATAATCTGCGTTTCCGAAGATGCCCGACTTTCACGGTCCCCGGCTCGTTCGAACTTGGAACGTTGATCGGCTGGTACCGATTCGCCTTCGACGAAACTGGATTCACGGGAATGAATCGTATCGACCGCTTAACGTCCGCGTCCGTGACATTTACAGGCACGACCAATTGCCACAAGACCGCGTCGAACTTTATTCGTTTATTTGAATTTCAGAGTCCGAACGGTCGACAGGAAGCTGGTGTATATAATATTCGACACCGAGAGGACTGGCGCGTTAAAATAGCGAGAATGTCGAAAGCATCCCGAGCTAAAGGTTAATCGTCGCGTCGCGTCGCGTCGCGTCGCACCTTGTCGCAGCTCGTATTACGGTATAATAGACCGGTAAATGGCGCGCAACAGGTGGTGCCCGTTCTCGCGAAACTCGCCGCGACGCGTTTCGATGCGAGTTATTCGGAAGTTCGGAACCGCGCGAAATTCGAGAAACGCGACGATTCGGATGCGACGAAAGTAGACGGACTCGGAAACCGGCGTCGGGATAGAACGGCCGGCTCTTCCTTTCCCTTTTACCTTCCTCGACGCTCGCACGACTCGCACGACTCGCACGACTCGCACGACTTCCCCGACTTCCTCGAGTCGGGTTCACGCGACGCGGTGAAATCGCGGAGGTCGAGGATACTATCACCGGAGGGGTAACGTTCCGAGTTGCCACCGCTTTCGTTTCTACGGTCAATTCTGTCCGCGTCCTTAGCGATTTCTACGATTATCCCGTACCTTTCGACGGCTGGTCTAGTCGTCCACTCGTCGGAGAAAACGAACGCGCCGGCGACGGCGACGGCGACGGCGACGGCGACGGCGACGTAGCCTGAATCCGCGCGGCTCGTTCGCGGATCGCCGCGCTTTCTACGGAGCCGCGAAAACTGTACGCGCTTTCGATATAATAATAACGATTTATCCCTCGGATACGCGATCGTGGTCTACTCTTGCTCCGCGAATAGCGGTTTCCTACGAGTCGCGTGCAGCCCGCGTGCAGTCGCCGAGCAAGAAATCGGTAGGTTACCGCGTCACGTACGCGAGATCACCGCGATCGCCAGCCGAGAGCAAAGTGCAAAGCTACACTCCGCGACAAAACTACGAGACACCCTGGAAAAACGTTAACCCGACACTCGGCCGGAGAAGAGGTTCCAAGGCAAACGACGACGATCCACCGGCGAGAGAAACGAACACCTCCGCGCAGAGTACGAAACGATACGTACCATTTTCTGGGGTATCTTGGAGTTTTGTCGGCGAGTGTAGGTGTCTCGCGAACGCCGAGAAGACGCATCGGTTCGCGAGTCGAGCGCACGCGAAACAAAGTCGGTTATTTTCTCCGCCCAACTTTCCCACACTTTCCATGGTTCGATCGTGTTGCCTCAGCCAGTATTTACGTTTACCGTCCGCGCGTAGTCCCCTGTGCCCGAGCGGCGCACACGTGTCCAGATATCCTTATACGCGCGGCGAGCGTGGAAAAAGACCGCCAAGGGCTGTTCGCGACCTTAGCGATGTATCTCGCGCCGCGATCGTATCGAGTCGAGTCGAGTCGGACCGGAGAGACCTTTGCGCGATTTCCTACTCGCGGCGGAGCTCCGAACGAGAGGAATTAAGAGCGAAACGATAATAGAACGACGACGACGACGACGACGACGACGACGAGCACGACGATATACCTCTTCGGTCTCGTGAACGTGAAGCAGATGAGTGGAGGCCATTAACCCCCTGATTGACCCCAGCATTCTCCTCTTAATCGGGCCAACTTTTCGAGCGCGATCCCTGGTCTCGTCCGCCTCGTCGTTCTCCGTGTCGGAGCAGAACCTGTACGCGGCGAGGGAGACCGGCGCGAGCGTCTCGTCGTCGTCGAGCGGATCGTCCGAGCCGACCGCCGGTTTTCTCTGTCTCCTCGGTCTCCTCGGTCTCCAGGATTTCCTCGGTTTTCTCGCGTCGGATCCGGTCTCCGGGTCGGGAGTCGCGGCCTCCTCGGCCACGGAGGCCAGGCCGAACTCCTCGACCCTGGTGATCGAGCCGGTTTCCCTGGTGGTCGCGCTGGTCAGGTCGTAGGACGCTCGCTCCCCGGACTCCGTCGTCGCCGCGAGCGCACCGACGGCCTGCAATCTCGCGTGCTTGTTCACCACCTCGTTGATCCTCGTGGTCTCGTCGCGCAGCCAACTCTTCATTTTGCTCCACGCTTTCCCCAACCGATGTCTCTGCAACTGGACGCGCGACGTGTACGAGAGCAGGACGACGCCGCGCAGCGCTTCGTTCGCCCGGAGACGTGGCCAAAATAGAAAAAGCGAAAGTTTCTAATCCACGGAATAATGAAGGTGCGATATAGTCGGAATTTAAGGTGCTACTTTGGAATTTAGTGCCGCGAACACTCTAAACGATCGTTTGGAATCGTACTTTCGAACAATTTTCGACATAGATGCCGCTCAGGGATTCTTCTTCGACGAGTCTTATTTTATTCCGGTGGACGTACGACTTTGATCAACGACAACTCCCTGATCATCGAGAAACGAGGTCGCGCGTCTGTACGACGTTATTCGCTTAACGTTGTACTCTAAATCGGCTCGCGAAGCTCCTATCTTTTAGGGTGAAACAGCCCGCGCAACTGGTATTCTTCCAACGGCTAACGCGTTGACGTTTCGCTAACAAAGATGTAGATTTTGGCCAGGTTTTCGGGCGAACGCGGCACAGCGCGAGACCGATTCTTTCCTTCCGAACGTCGGCCAACTTCGAGATCGGCTACCTTGGAACGTTCGAGTCGGCGAGACGCGGTGGAAAGAACGTCGTTGGAACATTCGGGATCCGAGTAAGAGCCGGACATCGAGGCGATTCCGGCGTCGTATTCCTCGTATTCGGCGGATTCGTCGTTGTCCGTCGCTACCCCGTAGCTCTTTCGTCCGGATTTCAAGGATCCGCGCGACAGTTTCGCGGGATCGTTCCGATCCTCGGATTTCTCCGACGCGACCGATCGATCGACGGCGTCGTCGAGAGCCGTCGGCCCTTTCGCCGATCCTCCGTCGAATTCCGTTTCCATCGTGGCACGAATTTCATTAGTGTCGCGCGTCGCCTCTGTCTCGCCTCGACTTTCTACGACTTTCACGATTTCGGTTTCGGTTTCGGTCTCGGTTTCGGTTTCGATTTCGACCTCGGTTTCGTCGCGAACGTGCGAATTCCTCGGCAAGTCGTAGAACGACGAGTCCGTCTCCGCGTCGGAGCGTTTCGTTCCGAGTTTCTCGTTGGCGTGCAAGAAGCTGAAGCTGATGGTCGGCAGCCCGTCCTCGTCGGTCTTCACGGAGGCGACCGCGGTTAATTCGACGGTATTCCTGTGCCGTACCTCCCACTGCTCGCTGGCCCGCGAGGCGTCATCGTCCCGATCTCTCGAGGGACCGGTCGAAATCTCCTGTCCGTCGGCCGTAGCGGGCAACGCGGTCCCTTGGTCGATCCGTTCACGGTTCTCGACGTCGGCTTCGTCGGAGAACTCGCGACAGTGCACTATCACCGGCGCCGGGGCATCGTACCAGACCGTCGTCGAATTGTCGCTGCTGGCGTACGACGGCGACAGTTTCCTCACCGATTTCAAAGAAGCCCACGCGTGCCTCACTTCCTCCATCGTTCCGTTTTCCCGATTTCCCGTTGTTCCGTTTTTCCGCTCACCGCATCGCACCGGCGAACATTCGCGGCACGCGTGCCGCGTTCCGCTCGGAATCTGCCGCGAGAGGTGGGACGTGCCCGCAGCGCGTTCAGAAGCGAGCGTTGATCGGGCTACGGACGAGTGAATCGATCAGAGTCCGAGCACTATTCGCGAAACGGAGGAACGAACGGCTTCGAAATAGTCTCTAGACTCTCGGTCCCGCGATGCACCTGTGGCTGTCGGTGAACGTTTGCGCGCTGCTCTCGCGATTTATCGGGTTTCCACGTTCGGCTGGTCACGGTCCGCGTTGGGCCAGCTGTTCGTGCGCCGTCCGTGCGCCGTCGCAACGACGTCGGCGACTCGTCCGCCGACTAGATCCACGCCCACGCCGATCCACCGTCTCTCGCGAGCTTCCAACGAGCTTCCAACGAGGTTCTCGCGCGGCGTTCGACGACTCGACGGACTCGCTGCTCGTCCCGACGTTCGCGCGCGACGGAAAGGCGATCCGGAACGAACGGACGATCGGACGATCGATCGAACGTACGCGGACTAACCGTGGAAACGGCCCGTCGTTGCGTCGATCGCAGCGCGTCGCGAACCGCGAACGAAACCGCGTTACCGTTTCAAGGTTGATCGCCGGAGCGGCTCGCGCAAAGATCGACAAAAGCGTGACTCGCGAACCGGATGAAAAACGGCCGAGCGACGCTCCGCGAACCGTGATGCTCCCGGCGACGTTTCAGCCGCGACTGGATTCGCGCTGGAAGCCGTATTATACAACACCGTCAAACAATTATATCCGTATTATGTTGCGTACACACGTGTTGCACAACCGAGCAAACGGTGCACCGTACGCGTCCCGCAGCTCGGAGTCGACAAAAATAAGCCGCGACTGGTTCGCGTGAAAATTTCATCGCGTTATCGGTACCGTTTCGACGATAGACCATAAATCTTTCCCGCGAAACGGTTAAGCGCCGCTTAATTCCTCGCTTTCGTCTTCGCAGGAGTTTCGTATCTCGAATTCTCTCGACGCGACAGCGCCTCCGGTCGATCCATCCTCGTCCACTGGCGGAATAAAAGATGGACCAAACGACTCTCCATCGTCCTCCTCTGCCGAATATTTCTTGGACGCTCGTCGTTGTTCCCTAGCGTGCGAATCCGACTCCGCGGTTTAAAGTCTTTCTTTCTTTCTCGAAGGAAACGTTCGACCGTGAAGCGGAGGAAGGTCTTGGTTAGGTGGGTCCAGCAGCCGCTTCGTCGAGAACACGTGGACAATTTGTAATGATCCTCGAATCGGAACGACGAGTAACGTCGAGCACACACCTCCGAAAGAGTACTGTTGCGCGCTCACTGTTGCGCGCGCGCCAGAGAGAGAGAGAGAGAGAGAGAGAGGACTGCGATTTTCGCGGATCGGAAACGTAATGCGCGTTTAAAACGCAACGTCCCGTAACGACTACGCTACGACCGCGAGTGCGAGTGCGAACAGGAACGCGCGAGCGAACACGAATGCGACCAGAAACGGATAGTTTGAGCGACAAACGCGTTTCTAGGCGGGAGGCTGTTCGTTTTGTTTCCGAATTATATTTAGCTTGGTCGAGCGAACGGCACTCGCGTTACCGAGTAAGACGGTGTACACCACGTGCGGCTCCTCCGGTGACTGCAACGTCGTTAGAGACTCGCGCGTAACTGTGCCACACCGCACACCGCCGCGGAGACTGTTTCTGAAACTCGAGTTTGCTCGAGCGCGCAACTTCTCGCGACCGGTTAACCCCGGTCGATCGCGAGAGAGGCTCGCTCGTCCCACCGAAATTATCGAGTCCCGAAGGGACCGTCGATCAACGGTCAACTTCCGGGTGAACTATCGGTAAGTCGCCTCAACGAATATACGAGCGAACCGGAGCGTCGGCGCGCAGGGTTTCGGAGATCGCAAAAACGAAGCCGAAACGATCGAGTTTCGCTCGATTTTGAGTCGCGCCGATCCACTTTCACGAATAATCGCATCGTCTAACCAGTCGGCCCGTACCGAGAGAACGGTACGAGAGCTTTCAAAAGTACGCTTTCTCGGCCGCGCCGATTTCATCGAAGATGCCACGGAGAATCGAGCGGTTTTCGGGAATCGCATCAGGAATTTCGGTATCTTTGAATTTGTCGTCTGGGTAATATAAAATACGACCGTTCAGCGATAACGAGCATCTCGTCTGCGGGCTACTTATCGCGTTTACCTTTGCGAAAGCTGTTGCGAATTCTCAGCCGCGCGTACAGTCCCCTATTTCTTTACGTAACTACCGGCGATACCGATAAAACCGAACTATTCCAGGCGAGTATCGAATCGCTGGGAAGGAAAGTGCCGCGTGTGCGCGCTCTACGAGTTCCGCGAGTCCTACGCGTTCGATGCATTTCGTTCGTCCGACACGCGTCACCGGTGATGCAACGTTCGGGCAGTTTAAAAGTCTGCGCGCGGTGCTCGCGATCGAAAAGAAGGATTCTAATCTGTAAAGGTACGTTTGACGGATCGCTTCCGTCTCGGTAGGTTTCCCAAAGGCGACGCGACGACGAACCAGACGCGCGGAGAGGCAGAGCGGTCGAAGAGCCGCGAAGCCTTTCCACCGGTAGTCGAGTCGAGGTGAATGAAATGCGTAACACCGCTCGTCGCTGCGAACAGAGAGGGAGAGAGGACGAGGTAAATAGAAACGGGCAGAAAGAAAGAGGTGGAAAGAGCTG